TCAAAGGATGGGTGGCTCCTGAATCATTAAGTAGATTCTTCCAGATGTTGTGAAATATTCATACCTTGAGGGAAGATTAGTTTTCTTTTTTGACAGTCATAAATAGGCTCTTCCCTGAACACGTTCATGAAAAGAAGAGGAGCAGCTCTTTATTTGCTGACATTGTCTCTGTCTCTTGCCTTTTATTTAGATTACAAGTTCTTTACAGCAGAGACCATCTTTCATCCTTTTTGCATGGTGTCACGTGTAAGGGGATATTGTCCATGACTAAGACGGGAGGTTAATACAAATAACAACATTTCATGGCTAGGAGCATACAGAGGTTATCACTACCACAAACTGCAAACAAAACTGCAGTTAAAGCTCTGATGAGCTCAGATGAGCTCTAGCAAATCTTACTACGATGGTTTGAGATGCAAAGCTCAAGAGCAATCCTCCTTGAATAGTAAGTCGTCACACTGAGGGTGGCAAAAGACCGACCCCTCTGAGCCAAACCTCCCAGAAGCCACTGACCCAAATTTCGTGAGAATACTTGTCTCAAACTCAGTACATCTTTAAAGAAGTGCTGGTAGAATTGAGAGGAACCTCCATCCATATCAAGCTAGCCGAGAAACCAGTTCAGCCAACTGTGACCACGAGGAAGCTGCATTTGCTAAATCCAGATCTGTCCTTGAGGCAGGTAAAACCAGGACTGAGCAAAGGCAAATGCAGGAACTAAAATGGCTCCTTACTCCTGAAGTGGAAAAGTGCTCCGGCACCCTCGTGCACTATGGAAGGAGGAGAGTTGAAACCAGGCCAGTATTAACATGAGAGGGCAGAGGCCAGCAGCTGAGCAGAACAGCAGCATCAGGCAACAAACCAGGCAGGCAGAGGTGACTGGGGAGGTGGAGACAGCCAGAGCAGCAGCACTGCTCCACCCAGACGCTGAGTCCAGCAGGCAGAGAATCTCCTTCTGCTTTCTCATCTCCCAGAAGAGTAAAACCATGGAATCCACCTTCTTTGTAAATTATCAAGCCACCCAACAGTTCTAGTAAGATCCAACAAAAATGAGTGGGGAGGCGAAGGGTCATGCATCATAGAAATCAAAGAGTAAGAACTGTTTGTTGTCAACAGAAGCCAAAAGCTTTTTAGGGGTCCTTAGGAAAGACAGGAGAGGACATATCCCCCAAAAGATGGTTCATTTGCCTGTTCTACCTTAAGACAGCGCAACCTTTCAAACCCCTGGCAAGCCATATTAACTAGGCCATAATCCTTCCTCCTCAGGCCTCACAAAACCCAATAAAGTCGTTATTGCCAAAAGGGTGCACTACGCACAGATGTGTTCAGCTATTAATGGGTTTTGCAACTATTTTCTGTCTAGTAAGATAAATGATGAACAGAATCAGCACGCCCTTGGGTTTGACCAGAATGCTGTTGAAAAGAGAAGAGGAAAAAAGCTTTCTGGAAAGAAAGGTGGTGATCAGGTGTCAGGGAGAATCCTAAAGCAGTGATCTTCCTGTGCAAGCCTGCACATTTCCAGTACCGATGCGAATCACGTGTCTGAACTGCTTCACTCAGCTGTGTAGTACAAGCACCGAGGCTGTAGCCTGATGGTCTGTGGATACAAACTTGATGCAGAAGTCATCGTAAAGGCCGGCATCTCAGATCTACCGCTCTAACTGGAAAAAAACCCCACAGACTCGCTGTCGGGCGCGGTGGAGTTTGCATGCCTCTTTCTATGCCCTTTTTTCAGTTTTATCAGTTTGTCTCTGAAAACTCATTAACTTCCCCTGGCCACAGTTACACTTGTTGCTTAATTGCTAACTCGTGATGAAACCAGGCCGTGGAGACCACAGCAGATCCACTACCTCTCTAGGTTAAAACTTTACTACTGCAAAGTTTTCAGGACTAGGCAGGACTAAGTAGCACTGGTGGCAACTCCTCTAGGACATCATTTAAGCAGCCTTGGCTGCTGTAGACCTCTATTGTAATAACATCCATTAAACTGAGCCAACTTCCTACAATATTGCTGTCTTGCAGGAACAAAAAGACAAATCTAAAGAATTAGGAAAAAATATGCTACGTTGAAGAAATATACCCATGGCTTCAGGACTGCCCTTGAGCGACCCTCATAACTTACGGGCTTTTCCAGTCCTGCTCTCCTTTTCCACATGGAGGCTGTCAGGGGAGGCTGCCTCCACAAGGGAAACAACCAAACTGTTTGTTGATTCTCCAGCGCCTTGTTTCCCATGCAGCTTTTGTACTGCTGGAAAGGACCAGTGGAAACTGCTATTAAATTTAGCTTCTATGGCTTCGTATTTGCCTTGTAGAAGTATCAGTGCTCGCAGAAAACATGAGGCAAAGCAGAGGGAAAGTACTGCTCAATGAACAAGTGCAAACAAAATGCAGAAATCAAGAATGGACTTTGCCCACAATTACTCCCTTCCCCAAATCATTGCAAGTGAAATGAATTTAGAGCAAAGAACACCTTAAAACATACATCAGCGATGCAGTTTTTAACTTTGTGGTGTCACCAAGAAAAAAAAGATGAGCCACTTCCATCACAGGGCTTCTGCGGGCCTCTGTTTCTGCACTTTGTGGGTGCCAGGTACGATGCTTGCACAGAAATCCTTGCAGCTGGACTTCACCTGGAGGCTCTGGCCAGCTGCTGGAAAGAAACTGCAGGACTGAGAGCAGTTACAATTGCAATATTATTTGTACCATCTTCTTTGGTTCAGAACACGTCATTATTAGAGGCTATTTTGTGGGCCCTCTTCCCATGTTAGTCCCTTAAGACAGGCTTCACTGCAATTATGTTTTTTCCTATTTGGCTTTCATTTAGGAAAACTGAAAATCACTAAGAGGAGAATTACTGCCAACACTAACCTTTATTTTCACCCAAAGACACAAATCAACTAGGTGCAACACACACTTTCATTCCCTTTTTCCGTCTTTTCTTTCTTCTACCAAATAAATATTTTAAGGTAATGAACATCAGCTCAGCACTGAGCCTGTAAAGAAACACACATGGGAGAGGAATTAGTCACAATGCTAACAGTTCAACATTATAGCAGTAGAAATATAAATATATTCAAATGTTTCATTTTACAGTATTTGAAGTGCAACAAGTCATTTAACAACCGAAAATGTTAGAAATCGCCATCCGACAGACTGAAGACCACCACCAGCAGTATTTCAAAGCAACGCCAAACCCACAGGGAGCAATTTAACATCGTTCTAGAGGGGACTTTCTAGCATAAAAGGGAAAATAAGGCAGTGCACAAAATGGCTCGGTATTTTAAATTCTTAAAAATAGTAGCTGACAGTATTGTTATGAAAACAAATGGAAGATAGAAGGGGCTGGGAAGATGAGGCTGGGAAGAGGGGAAACAACCCACAAGGCCAGCTGGTCTCTTGTGAAAATATCGACTGAATTGCAGCATTTTGGAATTGCTGCTAACACTGTAAACAAAAAAGGTAACTGTTTAAAAAAAGGTGACTGTATGCATAATCCAGGGCTTTTCATAACTCCCTCATTAGCTGACGGATTCTTGAATAAGCATTTTTTTTTTCACCGAACCGAGTAAAACTATTTGGCCGAACACCAAGCCGTACTGACTGCTAGTGCTCATCTCCAGGCCTGTGTGTAGGTCACTACTTCAGCTAGGGATGTAATTTTTCAGAACTGACATAAGCTACAGCACAGGAATGATTCTGTTGCCTGAAACATCTTTTTCTCGGGTGGGGATAGGTCTGTATGCACGATGCCGAGTCCTGCAGGGAAGACCGGGTCTCGACCCCCTCCGGTTGCAGTGCAACAGCTGCAGCAGACGGGTGTGATGAGTCACGCCGATGCGAGACAGCGGCACTGCCTCTAGCCGGGAGCTTCTGTGAGTGATGGCAAGTCAGGCTCGCCAGAAAGACACAGAGCTCAACAGAACGTGCTCACCTCAGACCCTTCTCTGAGGAAAAGGCACATGTTTAAAGCAGCCAACAAAGCGTGATGTCCAACTGACAGGGACTTCAGCAGGGAGGTGGTTCCTACTCCCCCCTAGTCCTCCCACCCCAAATATTTTAAATGCAGTAATAAAGAGCATCTGCCTTAATGAGAAAAATCACGTGAACGTCCCTGGCCTGCTGACACAGCGGAACAGTTCAGCAACAAGCAGCTGTACTGACTCGCACGTGAAGCTGACCTCACGCTGCTGTTCAGCCAAGTCAGTTCTCCAAATTCAATGCATCTGAGGAATTGGTGAAATTCAGTTTTGTGTAACAGGAAAAAAGACATTTGAGAAGATCTGTTTCATACAGACATGGCTCCTGGTTTCCACACCACCTCTTAAAACCACACACACTCAGTAAGGAGACATTTATTCCATTATTTCTGTTTTCAAATTTTTGGTACAAAGTTTATTTTCAGAAGTTCCCACATGATCCTTTCTTCTACCAGCGTCTTTTAGGATTTTTCTCTCTCTGATTTATTTTCTTTATCTGTTGAAGCAAAAGCAGTAATTGCTACAGAAAGCAATAATGGCAATATTACAAATATTTCACAGCAGCATCCATTCATCTCTTTGCCTCAAAAAAATAACAAAAATAAATCCAAAGACAAGATCCGTACTGCCACAAAGGCTTAGGTTTGTAATATCCAGAAGTATGCTGCGTTCCCATATATGAGTTGTACAAGTCCAGCACAACTTTCCAAGTTTGTGCAGAGCCTGATAAATAAGACACAGAAATATCAGTTACGTTATACCGTTTCTAAGAACTTTTACTCTGTAAAATGTTTGGTCACTCAAAGCTATAAGCTTAATCACATATCAAAGAACACAGGCAATAAAGCCCATCTTACTAGAACATAGAGTATTAGGCCAAACAAAATATAAGAGGACAAAATCTAGTGGTCACTGAAGCCTCTTTAAAAAAGGTCTAAAACAGAATGTTTCCATCATGTATCAGAATAAAAACGTACTGTATTAAATTTTTTTCTTTTTTTTTTTTCCTTTTTTTTTTTTTTACAAGCTGTCTTCAAATCAGTCTTCTATTTACAGTGCAGAACTTCTGCCAACTGCAGTAGTTTAACTTTGGCACAACACTAAGTTCCAATCCTTTTGAGTATTCAAGTCCTGTGTGTGTCCAAAAATTTTCTTGGTTTCACGAAAGATTAGGCCCATTCACAGTTAACCAGTTATCTTGAACTTTTTCAAGAATTGCTTCCCCTTCACCACATTGGGCAGCTACAAAGGAAAGACACTGTAAGCTATTGCATCATTCAAAAGAAACTCTTCATTCTAAACAGTGACTGTATTGTTGCTTCCTTTGACATCACATACACCAGACAGATCACACAGACGGCTACATACCGGACACCTTCTAAAAACCTTGCTGGTCGTTAGTGAATCGACTTCCTCATACTTCAAATACGTAACAATGCATTAACTTAATTTCATTTCACATGTCAAACAGGACATTTAAATATATTGCAATATATTATAGAAAATTGCAAAGCGCCATCATTTCTGTAAACGAGATCGACACCTGTTAACTCTCCTGTGCACATGAAGAGCAGTACCTAGTGCCACATTTTCTATACAATATAAAGCCTTCCCAGGTAGGGCAACTCATTTTAGTGCATTTCTGTACAGACTGTAAGCATACATGCAGATAGCCAACTATGCAAAATTGGAAACACTTTTGTAAGCTGGAACTGGAGGCAGGGGGAACATTTCGAAATCATAATGGAGCTCTTGTGGTTGATTGTTTCCTATCACAGATGAAGACTTGAATCTTCTGCCATTCTAGCGGATTCTTTACGGAAAGTTTCATGATAGGTATCTAGCATTGAATAAGCATAAGGTAATACTTTCATCAACTGGGACACAAATATTATGTGTCTTAACACATTCTAAGTTATGCACAGTCCAATATTTATATAGTAACCTTATCTCTAAAATACTTGAGAAACCCCAAATCATTTTTATGCCACAGTATTATAACCAAGGATAAGTTACTTTATCCACCACTGTAGTGCTACCTGCTCTAGAATAAAAGCAAAAAAAGCAAAAAAAAAAAAAAAAGGCCTCACGCTTCCCAACAAGTGTCCAGTCAGAAGCAGAGGTCAGTACCATTGCTAACCACAACACAAAGATCAGTGCCGCAGTCCAGCCAGCACGCTCCCAGGCGAAGATCCTTCTCGCCTAATTTCAAATGTCTGTAGCGTCAGTGTCTGCCCGCAAGCCACGTGTAACAGTCAGTGGAGTTTAGGGTGCAGTTTGTCTGACCAGCTCCAGGCATATAGGATGAACAGGCTTGCATTCATTAGGAATACTGACTAGCTACGGTGTCCTGCTCAAATGCAGATATCAACACACAATGAGACGAATCCCACCTTAATTCATGAGAAGTGCTATGGGATGGATCCTCAGTTACCACTCTACGTTTCACAATGTTGTGTAAGTCAGTTTTGCAATGACTATCCACTGAAAAAGTGCAGATGCTCTTCACCGCAGAAGGAGAAAACCCCCCAAAAGCTCAGACCATTAAACTTGAAAATACTGGCTGTAACCCACCTGTGCTTCAAAATCTCCCTTTTTAAAAGGGTGAAAACAATACAGAAATTTGAGCTTATTGAGTGTGTATAAGTAGCTATTGAGGGGATTTTTCACTTTCTGTTACAACTTTCATTTAAAAATCTTTTCCTACAGAATTTTAATACATGACCAAACGTCAAGTAACTTGACCCGATGAGTTTGTGTCATGCTACTTGGTAAATCTACTTATCCTAGGATATCACAAGCTTGATGGAGAATGCAGGTGTAACTCAGCACTGTTCAGTGCAGGGAACAAAGCCCTCTACTAGCCCTTCCCGTCTCTAATTTACACAATCATCCCAGGCATTATGAACAACTCTCAACAGTTTTACTGCTCTCTGATCATTGATACTATCTTTTCATTACTACTGAATGTAGGCAAAATTATTTTCCAAGAAAAAATAAATTAAATCAAAGAAAGTAGCTATATTTCATTGCACTCTATTTTTGTGCATTCAGGTTAGGGCAGGGATATTTAATATTACAGAAGCTTACAGATTATCTTCTCTCCTTGGGAGATATGAATATAGACAGATACAGGACTCGGGTGGAGGATGCAAATTGATACTGTCACATTTACAGAAGCAAATACTGATATCCAGCCTGAATACACAGTACTCTGCTAAGTGCAAAAGGGAAAATGCTCCCTCCCCACCTTAAACTACAGCTTGGTTACTCAGCAGCCAGAGACTAGTTGTCAGAGTTACTGCTGCGCTCTCATTTCAGAGGAAAACGGAGGAGGAAGAGAGTGTCTGCATCTTTGGGCTTTCTGGCCTACGGGGACTGCATAAGGCCATGAATCACTTTGTATGGGCTCCAGAAATGCTTTCTCTGCTCTGTAGAGGAGAAGGGAGTGCATCTGCCTGCCTCAAGAGTTCCTTGGCGAGCAGGAAGAAAATAGGCTTTTGCCCAAAGTGAGCAAATCATGCATTAGAAAAATTATTTCGTGTCATGTGTGGACATTGCAAGAGTTTCCTTCCCAATAATTAAAGTTACAGCCAGACACCATATTGCATACGATGTCACGAAAAAGCAGTTTTTAAAATGGTACTGGACAAGGTTAAAAAAGGGAATGGCCTCATTTACTATAGTGTATTAGAGATAATCCACTAAATTCTGATCATGAGGTACTAGATGTCTTTCCTCTCCTTTGCTTTCAAACAAAGCAGAGATTTCTATGTGCTAAAAATGAGTGATTGCAATACTTTACTTGTTCTACCAGAACAGCAAGAGTAAAACTTGTTTTGCTTATCAACTTCTAGGTAAGTGAGTTCTGCAGGGCAAGCAAAAGTCAAGAGCCTTCAAGCTTCTGTATTTTCCCTTCTTTCTACTTCTTACAAGCCAGCACTCTGTTAGTTCATTCAAACCTCCAGGGAGGAATAGGTCTGACTTTCTTTCCACAACAAACACTAACCTTGGGGTCATTAAGAGGTTGATACTGGGAAGACAGCACTGTTTAAGATGGAACCGTGCTCTTTCACTGTACTCAGAAGCAAGAGCAAAACATGCCATGAAGCAGCAGGATACAGTGACGCTGGATGCCTCACCCGGTTGTGACACTGCTTGCTTTCTTTTAGCCCTTCTCCCTCTCCATTCTGGCACAGGATTATCTTTATTCTCTCTTTAGCTGAATTCCAGAGACAGTTTCATCAGATCAGGTACTCCTGGCAGAAACAGCAGATGGAGAAGCAAGCTCTACCTTAGCTCTAAAGGAACTGATGCTCACAGCTGAATTCTGAAACAGTGCTCCCAACAAAGACTGAGAACAAACCAGCTACCTAAAGGTAAGATCTGAGCAAGATCAAAGACTTTCTTCATCTCCCTGTCAATGACAATCACTGAAGCCTGGCTCATAACTGGCTCAAACCCAAGAGGTGATGCTCCACGGAAATACAGAAAACATACCACAAGCTCATCTACACAGTTCTTCACCGAGCAGGGAAATCAACAAAACCCCACACGGACACTCACCCCAGGGCAGACATACTTTTCTTGCCCTTTTCCTCCCCACTGTCAACGTAGCTCAGTCCAAGTGGCTTCCAAAGCACCTTGAAGGTGTGTGTAAGCTACAAGAGGGAGCCAGGCTGCAGGGGCGCACTGCTGATGAGCACAGCGATGCTCAGATTAATCATAAATTAAGACACTTGCTGCAGTTCAGGAAGTTTCCTGTATGTAACTGGTAAAATGAGAAGGTGCCATATCCTCTCCACCTGCCAGTTAATTTCTGTTTCTCTCAGGTGACTATATAGTGTGCCTTGGGCACCTAGGTAAGGAGCACAGCAGCCTAAGGTTAGATGAGATGAATCTAGGCTAAACCGCTGTTACCAGTAGCTTTGAGTTCCCACCAGCCATGACCACAATTCACAGATAAAACAGACCAGCATGCTGACAGCTCTTTCCAATGCTTCTCCTGTCAGTCCTGATGCGGGAGGCCTCCGGAAGGAGTCTCCCTCTCTCCCAGTACGCAGTGCAAATATACACATGCTGTAAACATGAAATAAACTGGTAATTAATGGACTCTGTTTGTTCATACAGAAATAACGGACAGACTATGAGCAATAACGAATGCATACAATTGCTGTCTTCAGGCTGAACCCACCCAGACTTTTCTCATCCTTGGCACAACTGAAAGGATTGCAATGTGCATGTAGCCCAAAGGAAATGTGGGTACTCTACATCTCCCATTAGCTGACCCACAGCACATGGTTTAATTTAAATTTTATATTCTGCAAAGAGATGATGTTCCTCAAAGGGCTGTAAATATTATTATAACCACTGGAATACATGGAACTGTAATACAGCAACTGAAAATCTGGCCCAGTATACATCAGCCACCATCTCTGACCATTTTACTGAAAGACGACATCCAATCCAACTATATTTAGTCTGATAAACAATGTATTTCCTCTTCCTGTGTTCTTCAGACCAGAGGTGCTTAAGGCCTACTATCGTAGCTGAGTCTTATTTAACAGAACACTGCCAAAATGGAAAATTTCCCAGTTTAATCATATAATTAACTTGGATCTGTATTTTTTCCCATCTTTTAAAGAAGGTCAGATTTAATGCTAACCTAAATGCAGTCTCTGCTGACAAAAAATTGAGTTGTTTATTTGGACAGGTTGCTTGGGTGGGTTTTGTTTTTTTTTTTTTTTTAAAGAAAATTAATTCTGGGTCAACCTTAAGGATTAAGGCAACTCCAGATTTTGCTTGCTAGAGGCATATTCCCAAGGATTTTAAGGATTTGCTTCAATATTTTTGGAAACTTAAAAATAGCATCTCTCTCCTACTAGCTTTGTCCTTTCCCACTCAGCAAGCCCTGATTTTTGACCCTGTATTCCCAGTGGAGCTTGAAGCTAATGCGAGTCTTTCTTGTATCTGCTGGCATCTACAACAGCCTCATCCATACCATTACCAGCCAAACAAGAATACCTCCCAACCACATGCAGCAGTCAATGCTGAAAAGGCCAGATCCTGATCTCTCTTATGCCACCTCACATCCAGAGTCATAAGTGCTCCAATGAAATATGCTGACAACACAGTTTTACTTCTCCCCCACCCCAAAGTTCAACTGAGGGATTCTTGGCTAGTCCTCTCTAGCACCACTGGCCACTTTGTGCCCCATCAATTTGAATCTTGGAAGCCAGGAAATAGTTTCATCATCAAATTTGTATCACACCCCAAAAGCCATTGCCTTTTTCTTTCCAGCAATCTCAAATAATCAGAAGAGCTCACCCCAGTGAATGGCTTTCACACAGAACATCCTCCTGCAACTCACGCAGCCTGTTCAATCCGAGAGCAGAAGAGCAGCTACAAGTGTCCAGAGAGGAAGGTGAGTTAACAATATTTCTTTTGTCAGACGTTATTCCCTTTCTTGCTTTGACCTGGGTTTCACCCACAATCAGATATGAAAAACAGATCTAACAGGGACTCCTCTGCTTCAGAAAATCATGACTTAAAAGGACTTTCTTGGTCTTTTGACAGTTATCACAGTGAGGAAGAAAGAGTAATTCCAGATTAGGTTCTTGGAAATATGGAAACATTAGGACACATTTTCTCTACACTAATCCGTCTCTCATTGGTCATCAGATGCAGAAGCCTACAGAGAAGATGCTGACAGATGTGCAAAAGGAGATTGCTAGTATCCTTTCTGTTAGTGCCAATGTAAAAGCAGACAACGCTGGCGACAGCAGCACCAATTCATCATTATCTTTTAACATCTAAATATAAAGTAACTTATCCCTAAGAAATGCAGACTGACAGTAGCAAGAACACAAACTACTCTTCCTCGGAGTACCAGTTCTCTAGGCTGCCAGACATCTGCCTAAACTAACTTCCGTGAATTTGGCCCATTGTTTTGAAGTTGGTAATTCTAACTCTACTATGATTTCAATGTCTTAAATGCCCCCCCCCCCCCGTTTTAGAGACACTTATTCAAGATGTAGATGTTTCATGTCAGATTAAACTCTTTCTGGAGTTCAGTTCAGGTAGATCAAACCACCTCCAAAAATAAGTGCATTCACCCAGCAGCCCTAAGAACAATCAGCATAGTGGCGAGCTCAATCCATTAGGATGAATTTAAGTTAAACTTGCACGCAAATGATTCAACTGGGCTATCGCTGAAGAACAATTAAACACTAGCATGTTTATCATTCCTAAGCATCGAAAAGCCATATAACTTCATTTTTTGTCTGAGAATTAAACATCATGTCATTGCCACAACTTACTTGAAAACCTTTCTTACTAGCACCTGAAGATGCTTTTCGTCTCTGTATCTGTGTATTCTCACAAACCCCTAAGCAACTCTGAATGACTTTTAGGCAGTTTCCGCATCACGTTTACCTTAAAATTCAGTGTAAGATTTCAAGAAATTATTCTTTTAGCTAGAAATACACATCCTTTGTCTTACTATTTCCAACAAAGGAAAGAACGCACAAGCTAAAAATGAATGTTACTATTAACTGCATCAAGTCTGTCAGGCATTTAAATTAAATTTATGTAGGATACACTGATTAAATGTAACGAAAAGCATCTTCTAGCATTAGACTCATTCAGTTAGCTCATAATTATCAACAAGGAACATTTCAGCACAAGTTCTGTAAACCCAAAACACTCTGAAGATACGCAAAAGGTGCCAATATCACCTCATTTTCTTAAACCAAGCAATCCTCACCCCTAGGTTCATTGATTCCTTTGTAACACTTTTCCCCTTCTCTTTTGTTTTGAACTCCTTCCGTAAGAAATAAACCCAGGCCTTGAAACCTTTCAGGTGAAGCGATGTTTGCAAAAAGACATCTTAGGTTTTTGTATTTTCCTCCTTCATGAGCAGGCTATGTTCTCCTACATCAACGAAAAAATGCATCTGTGTTTTTTTGGAATTAAACAACATAAGGCAATTAAATATTGAGAAGCAGTCACGTGAATGATGAACATGAACCTTCCCATTGGTAATGTGGAAGAGGAGGAGCTGAATTGGATCTGATTTATAACCCCATGTCCTAGGCTAGGCCTGAGGATGTCCATCTCTTGTAGCAAGGAAGCAAATGGTTGTTGCCTGCACAGATAGCATCTTGCCCAGGTTCTTTTAGGTGGAAGATGCTAAGCAGGTGCTTGCTAAACTGAAGGCCATGAAAAATCATTTGGCTCTTCACCATAACATCAAACCTAATTCATAGGCTTTTGGCACCCAAATCCCAAATTGCATGTCAATCTGATTTTGAAAGTTTACGCTTAACATGTCGGGGGGGTTCCCAAGTATCACTATCATCAGTTTCTTCCTCATCTTCCTGATCTTCCAGCATTTCATCTTCCTCCTCATTCTCATCAAATAGCTCTATTCCAAGTTCTAATCTTCTTTGCCTTTCTGCAAACCACTCTCTGACCTGCTCATATCCCATGTGAGATTTGGCTACCAGTTCATCGAGGTCTTGCTCATTAAGGAATTTGTGTTTCATATAGTAGTCCTTCAGGATTGCTGTTCCAGTTTTGAATTTTATGACAGACACACCTCTGTCCCAGCAATTTAACCTCTTGCTTCCCCGAGGCCTCCCCCGAGGCCTCCCTCTCCCCCTCCCTTTTGGTCTTCCTCTCCCTCTCTTCCTTGCAAAGCCTTGGCCGTTCAGACTGTTTGCATTGGCGCTCTGGTAATAATAATACCATTTCAATCCACCATTTTTCCAGGCATAGCGAGTATCTCCAAACCAGCTCACAATTTCTGATCTTGGGAGCCCAGTTTCTTCTGCCAGCTTGTTGTATTCTTGTGGAGACGGCCACTGAGTACGGACGAAGGAACTTTTAAGCATGTGCAACTGCTCTGGTGATTTTTTGCCTATTTTGCTTGAAGTGGAACACCCTGATTTTGCTCCTGCTGCTCCATCTCCCACAGATGTTTCTCCAGCCTCTTCTTTTGAGCTGCCAGCATTGCTCTCATTCAAGTCAGCTCCCTCTTCCTTTAAGACATTTGATTTCCTTCTTTCTGTAAACCAGGCATCAATCTCTCTCCTGGTCAGTTTGGTTTGGGCTCTTAACCTATTCATCTCTTCATCAGTAAGGACAGGGTTATTAAGAAAACTTGCTTGGAGGACTTGCAGCTGTTCAGCAGTCTTCTCTTTGAATTTCTGTGGGGTGAAATCAGGAAAAGCGCTCCACGATGACTTGCTCTGCGGAGTGACTCCCGTTGGGGACTCATTCATTTCATCGCTTGAATCAATAACAATGGTGGCACACGAATCACTGTTGAGATGAATCCCATGATTATTCTTCGAGTTTCTCTGATTGTAGCGTGTATCGCTGAACCACTTTTTGATCTCTCCTTTAGTCAGGCCCGTTATTTTCATAAGTCTAACAATTTCTGAATCTTGAGGAAACTGATTTTTAAGGTAGCTGACTTTCAATTCTGCCAGTTGTTCCTTAGTTTTTTTTGCTCGGATGCCGAAGGAGTCAGGATTCATCAGTGCAGATTCATTTTTGATAGGCTGAGGGGCTGGAACGGCAGCTACTTGTTTGGTTTCTGCAATAGGCTGAGCAGTGTGAATCTGATTCTTCTGTAACTGTGTTTGGTTTGGGACTCCCGCTACAGTCAAAGCTATTGGGGCTGTTACCGGTAACGTATTTGCACCTGCAACTTGAGTGAGAACAAGTCCCGGCTGACCAACTATTTGGCATGTCTGTAAAATTGAAGGTAAACCATTGCTAGCGGCAGAAATGTGTGCTGGAATAACAGTAATTGTCTGTGGCACAGTATGCACTGTGCCATTAAATTGTTTCCTCCTTGCTTCCTCCACTTCCTCCGGCGTCCAGCTCACACCATGTTTCAGACGCTGGGCAGAAAACCATATTTTAATCTGTTCCTCTGTGTACTTGGCTTGAGTGGAAAGAACAGTGATTTCCGACATGGTTGGATATGGGAATTTGTTGTAGGTATTAAGCAAAAGAGGATTATTATCCAAAGCAGTATTATAGGCTGGAATGCTATTTACAGGTATTAGGACTTTTGGAATCAGGTTTGAGTTCTGTGGAGCTGTAACAGCTGTTATAACCTGTGCCACCCCAGGCTGAAGCACTGGGGCTGGAGTCACTACCGCACTAGCCACATCTGCTGCACTGCAAACAACTGAATGGCTTGCTTTTGACTCAGAAACTGCCGGTGGTGGGTTTTCTACTACTTCTTCAGAGTTTGGCTCATTTTCAGTTCCCTTTTCTTCACCAGGAACGTCATCAACTACATTGTGGAAAACAGCGATACGTTTAGTCTCGGTTTTGTTTTTCATCATTTTCATTATAGGAGTTTTGCTAATTGAGATCCCTGATGAGGGGACCTCAGAAGAGTCGGCCGGTTCAGCGTTTTCTTCTCTAACAAAACTCCCATCAAAAGTGAGATCGTTTACTGTTTGTTCAAAGATTGTCTGATTATTACGTTTCACCATGGTCAATTTAAAATTCTCCTCTCCAGGGTGGTACTTCAAATTATGTTCTGAGAGAGCATCATATCTTTTGGTAAGGAAATTGCATTCTACACAAACGTAGGATGAATTTAATACTACATTGGGATGTTCTGAATCCACATGAAAAGTAAACATATTGAGATCTGGAGTTTGAAAAGTACAGTATTTACACTCGTAACCACCTTCTACTTTATTTGTATTTTTCTGATTGTCTGAATCCACATACTCATGAACATCCTCATCACTTGTTACGCTCTCTGCTGTAGGGTTGTCTGCTGGCGCAAGTACAGGTGGCCCTTCCTCCAAGTCTGATACCATTTCTAGATCCGGATCCTGCTCGTTGGCTAAGACCATGCATGGTGTTGTTGATTTTCGTTTACTTGCCATGCCTGTTATGTGAAAATGATACTGACGGGTCAGATACAGACTTAGCTTCAAGCTCTTCTTGATTAATAATAATGGCTTTCGGTACTTCAAGTCAGTTCTTGTAAAGTCTCAACATTTATCCCATTAGCAGCTTTTCTTTTGTAGTGCAATCAAATTAAAAATAGATAGTTGAGGATGAAATGTTGAGACACACTGTTTTAAAGTCCACATCCACCACCTGTAGCAAAGAAGAGACAGTGGAATTAGTTCAATTTAAAGAGTAACTTCTATTCTGCTACATATTTTGGCTTAAGGTAATTCAGTCCTTTGGGGTTCAATCTGCCACTGTTCATCCCCTGAAACCAGCAGACCCATTCCAGAAAGAGATACTCAAAGCTAAGTTAAGAAAGGCAAAATCCAATCCACTTACTACAGGCTGAAATTTGTTTTAGTTCATGTCAATGCAGTGAAAGGCATAAAACACAGGATGGTGTGAAACAGGTAACTTTCTGACTGTTTTCCTTTCTTCAGAAGCCTTTTTCTTGGCACAATGCTGAGGTCAGTTGTCCTATGTAATTTTTGCAGTCTTGCCTTTGGACTGCTTTGCCTATGCTAGGACAACGTCTCTCAACTGCCTTGTGAGCTCAAGTCCTTCCTATCACAAACTCGACCCCAGTATGACACCTCCACTACTGACTCTGACATGTCTTTCATGTCAGAGGTTGTGAAGGGTCCCAGAAAAGGCTGGTTTAGAGTGTTTCTCTATTGCATTGTATATGCGAGCATGAGCATGTGCAAGGCCTTTCTCCCAAGTCTGAAAACAGGCAAAACAATGCCTTTTTAAGGCACTTCGACAGACAAAAGATTATTATCCTTTCTTCCTAGCTCCCCAAATGTCATTCTCCAATTGAAGACCAATCCCAAACCAATAAAAGTTGATTGCTAGCACATGGCAATTAACTAAAATCTGTTTTCATGCCTCTAAGCATTAACAGGGACATGATTGATTGTGTGAACTGTACCAGAGAGAAAAAGCATTAGACTGATTTAGCAAGCAGAAGCCAAACAAAATTATGTATTTTCTGTTCATAATTCCTTGTCCATTTCTAAGAAAAACTAAAGTGCCACCAATAAATTTGAGGCCTACAGAAATTCAGAGAATAAATGTAACCTTAAATAATTAATAGACTGGAGTGAGTTTTATCCCACAGGGACCACAACTAGTCTGCTGGAAATGACGCACAAACTTCTACAGAGGGTTATAAACTCTGTAATAGTTTTCTTCTTGAAATAAAATCAGACACTGATTCCTTATGCCAGAAATTCTATAGGTACATGAATTTTTAGACAGTGGAACATCATCTACTTCCCAAAGTCGGGGCATGCTCAAGTTCAAGGGGAATATTCAGTAGCTGTTTCAGAAGGTTTAGAAAGGGAACAGCATCTAACAGGTTAAAAACAGAAGGCCAGCTTTGTTCACGATAAAGTCTTAAAGGAAAAAGAACAGTGTAAAAGAAAGAAAGGCAGTGACAAGAAATGAGAAGGGGAAAAGAAATACTATTTTTCACCGTATGATAACATGATCCTTTCTTTTTGATTATGGGAGGGCAGAGGCTGTGGATAGGAAGGAAGGTAAATAATTCTTAGCTTCACATTTTTTCTTTAGGCAAAAGACAAAAGTGTTCATCCATAGCTGCCACCCAGTGCTGCTCCACAAGGTCTGTTTTTGAAACTGTGTGCCTCACCTCACTTTTTCATAAAAATCCTCCCAAATGTTTTTAACAATCACCCTCTGCACTACTTCTGTGCCTACATCCGAAGTGCACAGCCTGACATGATAGGCTTTTTATGCCAAGGATATGGTTACACGGCATTAAGGTCACTGACAATGCTCAATAAATCTTGGGTAATCATCATTCCAGGATGACAATTATTTAATAGTATTGGAGTTGAAAGATATGCTTCTTCCACAAGTTAATGCTGGCAGTCTGTAAAACTGCACAGAAGTGTAAAAGGTATTTATTTTAATGTATATACAAAGTCTGTATTGCAGGCCATCTCATTTATCTTTGCAGTGAGAGAACCATGAAGCAACGCTAAATGGATCCATTTGTCTCGGTGTCCTGAGGGACGAGAGGTAGAGCATTATTAACCGTATTGCTTCTCTATGGGGCTAGAGGGCTCTTGACAAAAGAAAGACAACTGCCAAGACTCAATGTTGAGAAATGCTCTTGGGGAAGAGCTGGGTGGTATTACCTAATCTTTCTGCAATCAGTAAAATTTCAGAAATGCCAGAAATGCCCTTTTTCAAAAGCTATTTAACAGCTAGTTTTGCTGACTGAAGTTGCAGTTTGAAAAGTGACTGCAGTACTCTGCAGTGCCTCATCCCTAGCGCAGTAGGATCTATATGCAGGGCAGCCTGAGTAAGCTTAAGGGCTTCTTGAGGGTCCCATTCTGGGATGGCACAGAGCGCACGTGAAAGCAACGTTTGACCTGACATGCAGTGTTGAAGCATGCTTGAGATAAGGCTGGAGATAACGAATAAAAGGGGAAACCTGTCCAACAAATCAGTAAGTGTTTTTCTCCAGCCCCCTCATTTACCCAATAGTGTTCATGGTGCCTGTAAGCCTACAAGTCCATGTGCAATTGCATCACCTGCAGCCTTTTAGCTAAATCTCTGTACCACATCTCTGTTTGCTGTGGTTCAGTTTCACTCACGGTGCACAGGCAGATTATCCTATCCCTCCACTGTTTACCAACTGAGCAACACGCTTCTTTGATGCAAGCGGGTCTCAGAAAAACCAAGCTGCATCTATGGTCTTCTGACTACACTATGCAAGATTTTTTGTTTTTTTTAAAGGATATTGCGATTTCAAAACCCTGTTTAATTCAGGGCTATGAAGAGCTGTGACAGCGTTCACTAAAATCTCAACAAAGCGAAATCCTTGCAGCCTTTCCCAGCCTTCTTTCCTCTACAGACTTTACAGAAACCTCCATTCCCTTCTCCTTGGTGCTAACGGGATTATTCTATCTGTAGCAGCCTGCTTGACATCTTCTCTCAGTTTACCAGGGGATTATGAAAACTCACACTCGAGTAGTTTATCAAACCAATTATGCATCACCCTTGTACTTCAGTGCCTCTAAAACACATTT